CACTGTAACCTGTAAAGCGCCCCTTGGTTGCAAGCATGGCAATCCTAGGGCTCATCTTGTTTTCCTTCTCAGGGATCACATTCCTTCACTCTCCAGTGTCTGAGAATGACACTTTCATGTATTTTGACGTATCATCCAGTTTTTTAACACTGGCAGGTTGTGTGTGGCTTTTGTTGTGGTCATTATGACTAAAAATGGAAGTAAATGAGAGTCATGCGTATTTTAACAAAATGAAAGAACACTGGATCCTCATTCAGTTACCCTGTTACAATGTGGTTCTGATTCTTATACTGTCAAGCAATTGCAAATTTTTATCTAGCTTGTTCTCAGGTAGCAAAAAAACCCACAAAAAACCATTAAGTGATTTTGAATTACGTGTATCAGATGAAGAAAATATAGATCAAAGGTTGGCAGACTTTTTCTCTAGAGACCAAATAGTAAATATTTTAGGCTTTGTAGACTATCCAGTCTGTAATAACTACTCAGCTGCACAGCTTTCATGCTGTTGAAACGAGGAAGCAGCCATAAACAATACATAAACAAGTGAGCAATTGTATTCCAGTAAAACTTTATTCATGGACACGGAAAGTAGAATTGCATATAACTTTTACTTATCTTGGAACATTATTATTTTGATTCCTCCCAGTCATTTAGTAGTATAAAAACCAAATTAAAACAAGCAGCAGGCTGGATTTGGTCTCTGGGCTATAGTTTGTTTACTGTTATAGATTCTTAAATAAGTCCCATATTCTGTATTAATATAGTAGCAAACATAGAACTTAGTATTTCTACTCTTTCGATATTTCTGCCTTGGGTATCCAAATGGGAAATGTACCTTTGTATTGGTATGCCTGAGGAACAGAAATGAGAGAAGTGGGAAGAAGAGGAGACCAGAAGGGACAGTGGGTTAATTTTGGGAGTATAATTAATTCGTCTGATGCACCAGCTTGTTAATTCCGTTTATCGGGCATTTATTGAATACCCACTGTTTTTTTGACACTGTGCCAGGCACTATAGATACTAAGTAGTGTAGAGCTTGGTCTTTGGCCTGGGAAGTTGTGAACAGATAATTGTAAATAAACAAATAATTACTGAGAAGATTATAGTCTAGCAATATAAATATGCCTAAAATTATTTAGGAGGCAAAATATACAGTAAAATTACAAAAAAAAATGAAGAACTAGAAAAAAGTGAATTTGAAAAAGGCCTTAGTATGTGAAGACTTTCTATACTGTGTGAAGGTGCTTGACCTTTATTCCAATATCTAGTAGTGTTTCTCAGATTGTGTTGTAGGATCAGAGTGGGTCATTTTATTTTTAAAATTTTCAGTCCATCATTGACTAATAGTTTTTAGTACGTGGACTAATATTTTATTAGATATTTGTCCTAAAATGATATTATGAAATATAGGTCCAAACTTTTTACTTAGCTTGATCCAACATAAATTACTCCTTAAGATTGCTATAAAAGTTTAAAAACACTCAGTTTTTATACTTAAGTCATCATGGACTGATAACAAATGTACCATGGCTGATAATTCTCAGCCTGACACTGGTTTGTGGGCCACACTTTGGGCGGTATAGATCTCGTAGGTGATACGGGCTCCCAGCAGACTTTTCAGCGAAGAATGGCATAATTCTGTTTGTGTTTAACATAATGAATTTTTGGCAGTGTGAGTGATAATTAGGTTTCAGGCTGAAGGATGGAAACCAAGAATCATGGGCAGTTGAAGGGCAGTTTGTAATAGAGGAGAAAGTAAAATCGACTTTATACTGATTAATTCCTGAAAGGATAATTCTCTCAATAGCCTGTAAACTTCTTGTAGGAAGGGACTATATTCCTTTTAGTTACTACCTAAGGGTAAGCCCTTTCAAAACTATTTAATGAATAAATGAGTGAATGCATGGGTCAGAGAGGTAAGGCAGAACTAGGAAAGAAAGAATAGTGTGTTTAAAACTGGACGAGTTTCAGGCTGAGAATATAATAAGCAGAATTAAATGCTTTCAAATCAATGATAATTGACAAGTATTTATTATGTTTAGCAATTTTCAAGTCCTTAGAGAGATCAGTGTTAGCAGTGTGGTAGGTTTAGGGGCCAGGTCATAATGTGTTGCTCTTCTCTATTATCCAGTAAGAGAATGAGTAGAGGTACCTTGAAAGTAAGACACTTCGTAAATTAATGTCACTTAGTTGAAGAAGAAAAGTAGTGATAATAATCTTTACTATCCACTTAGTATTTCGTAAGATAAATAATTGGTGTGTATTTTTTTCTTCCATTTTAACAGGGGAACTAAGTCTCTATTAGATGGAATTAAAATAGATTTTTAATCATTCTGATTTGAGAAAATGATGAAAATGTGAATAATTTGCTTGGTGTTGTTTCAAATTTATTTTTAATAAAGTTGTTACCTAATACTCTTATGTACTTTTTATTAGACCCTTTCCAGTAATATTCCATTTTGCCATAGAATAAAATTTACTCATTCTGTACTGTACCAGGCAATGTATTTGGCTAAAAACTTGTAGGAAAAAAATTATAGGTTGAAAGTATGTGGGCTGTAACTTATCCTGAAGAGTCAGAGAAGTGAAAATCACTTGAGGGATGTTAATGGAAAGAATAACATTATTTATGCAGGGTATCCTTATAGTAGTTAATTTAACAATTTTGTTCTGTCATGTAGTTGCTTTATTTCTTATAATCAAGTTTTAGTGTGATCTTTGAAGAAGCATTCATTAAACACATCTACTGCGTAAGTGATGGGTACCCTCATACAGTGCTTATTTGAATATTGGTACTTAGTCATCTTTTAATATTATTGAGATGAAAGCTTTATATTTAAGTTTGCTTCTGTGGTTGCTTTTTAAAAAATAAAATACATTTTGGGTATTTTTTCCCACTTTTTCCCTGAAAAGATTATGGTCATCTTATTTGATAGTGGATAATGAAAGTCCAGGAGACTTTAGATAATCCATAATACTATGTGAAAGTTAGAATCATTTTTATGCTTTTTTGTTACTAAGTATAAGCATTTACCTCTCTTCACAATAACTTCAAAAGTTACCTCTAAATCTTCCCATAGAATGAAGACCAGCAAGAAGTGATCCTTGTTAGGACAGACAGATCTGGAAGCGTATGGCCTGTAAACACACCGGGAAAACCTCTGGAATACAAAGGAGGAAGAAGGAATACACAGATGTATGTTCGGCAAGTCTTTGTTTATTAATGCAGAATTACTTTTCTACTCTTGAGAATTCTTTGCATCAGAGTACTTCAAAATATTTTCTGAAATGTAGTTTTATAATGCAAACATTAGATGATAAATTGTTATTTTTATTCTTAGTTATGTCCCTTTGCTTTATACAAAATGGAATCTAATTCAACCACAGTTTTCAAATAATTCTAAACATTGACTGTTTAACAGTTTTAATTTTAGTGTACATTCTTTGACATTCATTGTTTATAGCTTCTTCTCACATACTTTAACCATAGCTCATAGGGAAAACCGTGGTCTCCCAGACGTGTTGTCTGTGTAGCTAATTTGAGACATGGTGATGGGGTCGTCCGTATACAGTAATGTCTCAATTATGTAGCTGCTGGATCCTTTGTAAGCCTAATTTTCTTTTCCATCTTGTAGCTCTAGTAATGAGTTTTTAGGACTACCTTAAGGCTTTTGAGATGGCAAAAACAATGTATTCAGTTTTCCTAAGTTAGACTTTTAGTTTTAAATTTGAAAGATTGTACAAGTGGTAATTGGGTTTACAAAATATTTATTCATTCAGAATTTTTCTGTCTCATGTTTATTATTTGCCTGTTGAGTGCCTTTGCTGCTAGAGATAGTAATTCATTCATTCAGGAAATAGTGTGAAATGGGCGGAATTAGGAGTTTGGAGCAGAGATGTGGCAGGAGACAGTAAGGGTTTGAATTACATGAAATGGCAGAACTGGCTAGGGATCCCTAGGTGCGTTGCTAGATGGTGGTGTGGCTCTTTTTGAGTTGCCTACTACTGAGTGATCTAGGTATAAAAGTAAAGGTGGCAGACAGATTCATTCAGGATTAAGGTTTGTTTTTCAAGCATAATGAAAGTGTAAGAAGGCTAGAAATTAAAGTTCTGGAGCCAGGAAGTAATTTAAGTCATGGCGTATGAGATACAATCTAGTGAAGACAGGGAATAGTAGTGTTGGGAGAAAATACTGGAAATGTGGTTCTAAAGATATCAAGGAGGTTGAAAAGCAGATTTGGTTTGGATATAGGAATGTGAGAACAGAAATAGGGAGATTTGATTTTGGAGGAAACAAATAGCACTTTTCTTTTCTACATGTAGCTATGGGACCAACTGATAGGAAAATCCAGAACTGATTTAGTTGAGAATCAGCGTGTCAGCTGTGTTTCTGGTAGAGCTGTTTGAAGTGGATTTGCTAATACTCCACCTCTGTTTCCAACATGCTTTCATGATCTCTGGATAACTGGAGACTTCCCTATTGTATAGAGAAGGGAATTTTTATTGGGTCTCCAAACGATTTATTCAGAATTTTTCTGTCACATGTTTTTGCCTGTTGAGTTCTTTGCTGCTGGAGGCAAGGAAGCAGAAAAGGGAGCTCTTCTTCTTAACAAGGAAAAGCAGAGCAGAGAGAAGGGATAAAGCAATTCTGCCCTTTCCCCCAAACTCAGAAATCAGATAATGCTATGCTTTCATCCCAAGAGAAGAGGAAAGTAAAGGGGCAGAAGTATAGGGAGTGTTGTTCTAATAGAAGTTCTTCCACGTGGAAGCAGATAGAACAGGGATAACGTGGAAGGGGAGACTGTGATACATAGTGGGATTTTTACATTTAACATCAGATTTATAGATAATTCATTAAAAATACTTGAGAGACTCATGTTTTCACTAAATTAATATTGTTCATTTTGTCATAGGCTTCAACCCGTGAGCAAAAAGAAAGGGTCAGATACTTTCATGATGATGATCATCTCAGCCTAAATGATTTAGTCAAGAATGAAAAGATGGGAACAGCAGAAAATCAAAATAACTTTTTATGAGAATGGCATCTAAGGTAAGTTATATGCCTGGGATACCTGTGAATTTGAGAAGCTGGTTACTCATTCTAGCAATGATCTCCTTTTCAGAGAGAACTGTTTCTTTCTAATTGTGCTTTGTTTTATTAAATTAAATCCTTTGTAAGACATATTAGGAACATGCATTTGGAACTGATTTGATTGGGAAATACATATTTGGGATTTCAGTTAGTTTTTAAATAGGGACTCTGGTTTAATTTTTAATGTATCCCATGAAATTTTAATTATATATGTGATCTACCATTTGAAGGAAAGTTTAGGGCCAGACTTTAGTGTTGACAGTGAGCTGCTAGTTAGATTACCAGTTTGTTCGTGTTCGTGTTCCTCCAGTTCTTCCTAATTAGGCTACAAGGAGTGTATTTGGTGTAGTAATTTATGGATTATACAGAAGGCATATTGGAATAATCCTAAGTGTTTATATGAAAACTTTGTATTTTATATGAAAATGTATATTCATACATCACTATGGGTAGTTGGGCGAATTTTTTGTTTCAGATAACATTCTTTGTTGCAGTCCCTTCTACTGCAGTCCCTTCTACTGCAGTCCCTTCCCAAACAAACCATTAACATTTTTTATACAAGAGATATATTTAAACTTAGCTCAATAACTAGGGTTTGATCCCACTGGAATAATTCAGCTCACTACCTGTTCTTGCAGATAAAGTTGTTTTGGAACACAACTATGCACATTTGTTTATATATTGCTTAAGGCTGTTTTTGCTCTATAATGGCCAAGTTGAATACTTGTAACAGAGATTTTATAGCTCACAAATCTGCAAATATTTACTGTTTTTATGGAAAAAATTTGTCCATCTCTGTTTTATGATACCAGTGGTTGCTTTTTTGTGGCAGGAGTTTGAACAAGGTAGGCAGGAGGGAGACTTTTTACTCTATACCTTTTCAGATCAGATTTTTTTTTTAAACTATGTTAATATATTACCTGGTGAAAAAATTAACTTAATGAAAACTAGAATAAGGGTAAGTAGCCAAGTTATCTGTGTGTATATGTGTTTGTCAATTGGGGGTTAGGGTCTAATTGAAAAAGTCATTTTCCCATCACAAGTATTGTATGAGATCTTTAAATTTAGCCCATTAGGATATTACTTCTCTTTATTTTGGGGGAAATGCTAGAAACCTGCTAGGGTCTGGAGATTGAATATAGAAGGAAGGACATATTTTTATGAAAATTTCCTTCTCAGATATGGGACAGACCATGTTATGTGAAAATCTGAATTAAATACAGTTTTAGTACTCTTATAGTCCATTCAAATTTATACACAAGAAAAAAACTTGTAAAAAGTTGTAATAGTCATTTGTTAATTTAAGAGTTGTTTATTGAACACCTAATTTTTTGCTGGATAACATTCTAGGTGCAGGGTGTAGAGAAGTATGATCAAGTCATAGTTCTCCCTCAAAGAGCTTACATTTCTAGTGGATGGGCCAGAAAATGAACAAAATACAGTTTTAAAATATTACATGACAAATAATATATTACAAAATAGAAAATATTTTTGTAGGGAATAAAGCAAAGTAGGAGGAGTTAAGGTTTTTTTTTTCAGGGGAGTGTTGAAGGAAGGCCTCTTTAAAGGTGATGTTTGAGCTGACTCTGAACAAGGTGAGGGAGTGGCCCACGTGAATATCTGGGGGAAGGATGTTCACACAGAAGAGACAGCAAATGCAGCAGATCTGAAGCCGAGATAACCTTGAGGAGAATTGAAAGCAAGTTGACTGGGGATGAAAGGAGAAAGGGAGAGAGAAGTGGGAGATGCAACGGCAGACATGGGGTCAGATCATGTCAGGTGTTATAGGCCCTGATGTGAGAACTTCTGTTTATGTTTTAAACGATGGGAACCCACTTGAAGGTTTTTAGTAAGGCAGTGTTGTGATTTGGTTTCTGTTTTGTAATTTCCCACAGTTCTTGTATATTCTGTTCTGGTTTTTTTGGTCTTTGTTCTTTCTTCCTCTGTTTTCATTGTGGAGGTTTGTTGTCATATCCTCAGACTCAGAGTCTTTCCTCATCTGGGTTCATTCTATTAATAAACCCATCAGAGACATTCTTCTTTTCTGGTTTAATGTTTTTTATCTCTTGCATTTCTTTTTGGTTCTTTCTTAGAATTTCCATCTCTTTACTTATATTATCCATCTGTTTGTTCTTTGGATTCCTGTGCCCTGGACTGTGAACTTTACCAGTACTTCTCAGTTTTTTTCCCTGCTTAGTTTAGATAGGTGAGAGGGCCCTGGAGTTGGGTGTGTCCCTTCCTTTAGGTAAGTTAGGCTCTTGCAAAACCTCAACACATTAAGCTCTTGTAAAGTAGCTTGTACCGAGGGTGGCCCTTGTTAAGAAAAACAAAATGCTCTGGTGTACTTCAAAATAGTTCCTTTTTACCTGCTGCTGCTGGAAGCAGGAGAGGATTTTTCTTTCTGATCTTTACTGTGAAGATGTGGTTAGAGGTCTTAGAGGTAATTCTCTTATATAAAAGTATGTGCTCTCCCCAACCCCACCATATGACTGGGTACCCCTGGAGTTTTTAACTCTAAGACTTGTCTACACTGAGCCTCCAACAATTTGTTATAGTTTAGGTTTTCCTGCCCAGGGAACCACTGGTTTCTACACAGATAAATTGTGATTTTCTGAACCCACCTGTCTGATTTTGGGGTAGTCACTTTCCTGATGGACTTAAGAAGAGTTGTTGATTTTTCAGTTTTTCAGCTTTGCACTTCTTGTTGGGACAGAGTGGTGACCCTGAGTCCTTTAAATGCCAATGGGATACAGATGGTTTATGTTTTGAAAAAATTTTTCTTGAAGCTCTTTTGAGAAGGTAATATAAAGAGGTAAGAGTGGAAGCATAGTGATCACTTAGGAGGCTATTGCATTCATTCCTTGGATCAGGATGGTAAACTGATGAGAAGTGTTAGGATTTGGGACAATGCTGATGCCATTTATTGAAATACAAGAACTTGCAGGGGAACAAATTTTGCAGAAAGTGGGAGGTTAAGAATACGATTTTGGACATATAAAGTATGAAATGTTCATGAGACATTCACATTGTGGTGTGGAGTTACTGTTTATGAGGCTCTGGGTAGATGTTCTCCCATATAGATTTGGATATTGTTAACATTTAAATGTATTTAAAGACATGGGAGTTAAGAAATCATTAGTGAGGATTTTCTGAGGACTGAGCCCTTGGAGAACTGTATGGAAAAGGACAAAAAGGATTCAACGCATCAGACTGAGAAGGTATAGCTAGTGAGGTAGGAGAACTGAGGATGGGTTCCAGAAGCTGTCTGAAAGGGAGTCGTGAATGACTTCGTCAGCTGCTTCTGAGAGGTTAAGATCTTTGAAGATTTGGCATTGTGGAGGTTTCTGGTTCATAAGTGTTGTTATCTTGGTATGTGAAGGAGGAAAACCTGATTAGAGTGGGTTCAAGAGAGAATCTGAGAACAGTTAGTGAAGTGATGGCCTTTAAAGGAGTTGGTTACTGGGCATCAGGACAGGAGGAAAGGCAGAGTATTAGGTTACAGACGCAGGTAGGATCATAAATTTGGTGGTGGAAAATGAACATTTTCTTCCTATTCTATTAGTTTATAAAAATACCAGGGGTATCAGCTGTGAAGATAGTGTGAAATGGTCTTTGAGAGAACTGGTGAGTGAAATAAAGTAGGGTAATCAGGCAGTGTTGAAGGTCCATCTTAGGTTTATGGTTATATATTTAAAGTAAAATACGTCATGTTGTTTGTGTATTTTTCTTCTACCATATTTGGATAAGGACTTGTTTTATTGAATCACAATACAATGGTCATGACTTGTTTTGTATTTTTCATATTTTACCACCATTGCTTATTGCTTTAAGGGAACAAATAATAGAGCATGTTTATAATATGTTTTTCTTCTGCTTATATATTATAAGATCTTTTAGTAATATTGTATCGGATTGATTTTAGTATTAGCTGATTTGGAAATAATTGTGATTGAAGATATTTGTCTAGTTTCCCTGAACATTTTAAATCTTTGAGTTTTTTTTAAAATTCAAGTTTACTAAGCTAGAACATTGTAAAATATATTATAAAAATTTACTAATGGGATGCCACCAATATGGCAGAGCAAGAGACCTCAGCGTTCATCCCCCCAATGAAGATCAATTATTAGGTAGCTACCCATGAAAAAAAAACAGCTCTGGAAGAACTCTGGAGTCTACTTAACCAACTTCAGCAATTTAGGGAGCAGAAAACTTGAAAATGATTGCACAAAAATGGAAGGAAAACAGCTTAATTTTGCCTGGATCATTCTGTCCCCTAAGCTCTCAGTGCCAGGAGGCAAATCTCCAGCAAGAGAGAGTTCCCTTTACAGGGAAAAGAAGGGCAGGTGAATGACCAGCTACCCTAGCATTTTGTGGCACCACATAAGGTCCTACTTCAGTTTCATCCCACCCAGAGACCAGCAAAGCTGTGACATAAAGAGACAGCCAGGAACAAGGAAGAAAAGCAGGGTATACCATTAGCAGCCACAGAGTGGGAGTGATCATGATTCCCAGTGATCTGCTTTGCAGATACACTAAGCAACATTCGTCACTGAATAAACCAGTAGCCAGAATAGCTGCTATGGAACTCTTACAGATTTCACCAGCTTTCACTACAGGTATTTATGTTTGCTGCCACCAGATGCCTGAGTCCATTCCTGCTCCCTGTCTTACCCTTATCTGAAAACCCCATGAAGCCTGGAAACTGCTCCATCAGCTAGCTAGGCCTCTGCAGCTCTGTGAGTGTAGGATGCTGGGCTAGACATGTATGGCTGACTGACACTACTTGTTTGTGCTCAGGCCTAGCCTCTCTAGACCTGCACATGCATGCTGCCAACCTGCCAACCTGTCACCATCCTCTACTTCTGTGCACATGTCCTCGGGAAGACATGTGTGCCAACATGCCAAGGTCCCTGCAACTGCCTCTGCACCCAAATCAGGCCCTGCCTTTTGTCACTGGC